CTACCCATGATGTATTCGATATGCCAAAAAACAGTAACAACAACTCTTACAATGGAGATGTTACTGGGCCCGCTCGAGCAAATCAATGAACAATGGGAGGACAGTGCAGTGCTACAGTGAGTCATATCCTACAGTGCTCAGGGCTTATTCCAGACTTTGTGCTTAGGGATTGTTCCTGGCAGTGCTGAGGGACCACATGGGGTGCCAGGGATTGAATCTGGCTGGGCCATATACAAGCTGGCATCTTACCTCTGGTACTATCTCTCCGGCCCCTGCATTGTTTTTCTTTCTCAGTCATACCTATTACCAGTTCTGTAGGTTGAGTGGCTTTCTGGTCCTGAGTCCCACGTCACCTGCATTTTTCTCATATAGGTGCTAGGGGATTAGAGTCACACTCCTCTGCCTGAGGGGTGCTACTGGCCATTCTGAAAACTTTCTGTTTCCTGGGAGCCAGTGGGTAAGGTGCTTGCTTCGCACTCGCTAGGCTCCCACAGCATCTCATATGGTCATCTGAGCACCTCCAGGAGTGATTTCCTGGGTGAAGAGCCAGGAGCGTCCCAAAACAAAATGAACAAAAACCTTTCCGTTTCCTGAATATCTTCTACAGTACACAGTTTATGAGAGCCACTATATTCAGGGTGTTACAATTCCTCCTGACCTATGGCATTGCGGCTGAAAGTCCTTGGGAATGAGGGGAGAAAGAAATTTAAAAAGTTTTGGGGTCAGAACCACAGTACAGTGGCTAAGGTGTTTGCCATGCAGGATGTTGACCAGGTTGGATCCCTGGCACCCCTCCAGCCCACCAAAGTGATCCCTGAGTGCAGAGCCAGGAGTAACCCCTGAGCATCACTGGAGGTGTCCCCCAAAAGAAATTAAAATTTAACTTTGAGAAATCCACCACCACTGTCACCACCACTGTCCTCCCGTTGTTCATCGATTTGCTGGAGCAGGCCCAGTAACGTCTCCATTGGAGACTTTGTTGTTACTGTGTTTGGCATATCGAATACATCATGGGTAGCTTGCCAGGCTCTGCCATGCGGGTGAGATACTCTAGGTAGCTTGCCGGGCTCTCCCAGAGGGGCGGAGGAATCGAACTTGGGTGGGCCATGTTGGCTGCGTGCAAGGCAAGTGCCCTACCGCTCCAGCCCCTTGAGAAATCAATGTAATTAATTTTTATTCTATGCCTATCCTTAAGGAAAAGAAAATGTACTTTGAGGAGTCACAAAATGATTCAAAAAACGTAGCAAGCTTTGCATGGCGGAGGCCCAGTTATAAGCTGAATGCAGGGAGTGATCCCCAACCAAGATGGGGGAAGACCTCACTCCCCAGTGGGTGTGACCCAAAGCAAACAGAAAATAAAATAAAATGTGCTTTTCAGATTTTTTTAGGTCGCTGCTGCTGGTTTGCAGCTTTTGATCTGTAGTTTATCTTGAATGCTTTTCGTTTAAGAAAAAAAAACACTTTTTTTTTTGGTAGCACTGACAAATTTATTCTCAACTTTTTTTCCCCCCTAAGAGAGCAACCTTGTACAATGCAAAACTTTAGTAGAAATCTAAATTTTATGTAACTAGAGCTTAACCTCTGGGTCAGTGTATGTGATGTTTCTATTCGCAGTCAAGTTAGTACGTGAATGTAACCAGGAATGTAACAAGGGGTACTTAATACTCATCAAATTCATTTCTAAAATACTGCCGTGGATTCAGAACCCTGAATTCCAACCAGATGTACTTCCGGAGTATTACACAGGTCATATATATTTCACTTTTCGGGTTCAGACCCAGGGGATAGACACGATAATTAGATTGAGAACATCTGCACCAAATCCAAACCATTTCCCTGATCCTTCCTCGAGGCTTCCCCACGGGAGGGATTTTGGCAAAGCCCCTGCACATTCTATTTGTCTAGCCACCTCGAGGGCAGTTCCGAGGTCTCGCCTGCCGCCGGCCACCGCGCAAACTGGAGGGGCGCGGGCAGAGGTCACCCCCGGGGTGGGCTCGGAGAGGACCGAGACGTTGGCGGGGACTTTTCCGCCGCCACTGGAATGGCCCCCAGGGGCAACGTCGTTTCCCGCCAGCGGTCTGGCCTCGGGACAGGGCGTGGCCAGGCGCGGGGGTCGGGGCGCACGGGGGGCACGTGCCCAGGGCCCCGAGGACGCGAGTGTCGGGGCGCCGCTGCCCTCTACCGGGCAGCGCGGTCGGAGCTGCCGGGCGGCCGCCGGACAGACGCGCGCGCGGGCCCGGGCGCCCTGCACGGGAGGCCGGACTGGGCGGCCCGAGGTCGGCGAGCGGCCGCCGGGCGTCAGGGGACTTTGCCCTCCGCCGCGCGCCCCCGCCGCCCTCGGCGCCCCGGGTTTCCCACGCTCTGCTGCCTGCGGTCCCTTTTTGCTAGTTAAGACGGCGATGGGGACTCGGAGGGAGACGCTTTCTAGACTCCGGCGCCGTCCGTCCTCACGTCCGAGGAGGCTCGTGGTGGCCAGAGCGAGGCCCGGGGCGGGGGGACACGCGCGTCCGTCCGCTCAGCTCGCGGGCGTTCCTTTCCAACGTCTCTGCCTCCCCCAACCCCGATTCACCCCCCGCCCTCCGCGCGCAACCCTCGGAGTCAGTTTGCAAAAGCAGTCACCATCCGCTCGCACGTCTCATTTTGTATTCCATACAGATTTTTATTTACATCTAATTGTCAAGATTAAGGAATTGGGGGATTTGTTTTCACTAATTACACGTTAAATGAAGTGCGGGAAGAGTGCGCGGCCAGTATTCCTACTGGAGCGGCAAACGCACAGGCGGGACCATCAGTGAGATGCTGGACCCGGGTCGGGCGCGCCGGCCGGGTTTCCGCGAAGACAGAAATCACAAGAGACTCGACTTCTAGATTATCACTACTTTTTTCTTGGCGGGGGGCGGGGGGAGGAGGGCTGACAGCTGCGCCTGCCAAGTAGGGGCTAAGTTTTCCGTTCGAGGAGCCCTCCGCCCTCTCCCCTGCTTCCCAAGTTGCTGCACCCCGGGGGGAGCGGAGACCGAGTTTCTCCGGCCCTTGGGAAGCCCCGCGGGCGCACGGGTGTCCCCCCCGTCGTGGCCGGCATCGGGCCTCGCGGGGCTCCCTTCCCGGGCGCGGGGACGGCGGGGCCCCGGCGTGGGGCCCTAACGGCGCGGCCCAGCTCCACGGTGCGCGACGCGACACGGCGCGGCGGGCCGGCCCGGCTGGGTCTGGGGGAGGGGGCCCTATCCCGGGCGGGGGCAGCCTCGCGCGGGGGGGGCCGGGCAGGTGGTCGCGGCGGCTCGGGGCGACCGCGCGGGCCGGGAGCCCCGGGCGGGCGCCCCAGGTGCTCGCGGGCGCGCGCGCGCGCGCGTGGCCACGGGCGTTGGGCCGGAGCCCCGCGAGCGCCCGGCGCCCTCCAGCGCCCCCTCGGGGCCGGGCCCCGCGGGCCGCCGCGGCGCGCTGGGTCGGGGGGCCCGGGGCGGCCGGGGGTCGCGGGCCGCGCGCGGGCGGCGGCGGCGGCGGCGGCGGCGGCGGCGGGGCGGGGCGGGGCCGGGCGCGCCGGGGCGGCGGCCGCCGCCGCGCCCTCGGGCTCCCGCCGGGCTCGGGCTCGGCGGCGGCGGCGGCGGCGGCGGCGCCGTGAGGCGGAGTCCGCGTCCTCGGTGGCGGCGGCGGCGGCCGGCTCCAGGCCGGGTTTTGGCGCCGCCCGCCTGCTGCCTCCTGGCGGCTCCTGAACTCCAGCCCCCTCTCTATCAGCCGCTCACTCCGTCTCAATATGTCTCAAGATGGCGGCCAATGTGGGATCGATGTTTCAATATTGGAAGCGCTTTGATTTACAGCAGCTGCAGGTCAGGCTTCTCCCCGCCCGGCCTCGCGCCGGGGCCGGGGGCTGCGGGCGGGCGCGGCCTCCCCCGGGCGGCCCCGGGCGGCCCCGGCCGCCGAGGGGGCCGCGGCGGCGGGGAGGCGGGGGCGCCGGGGGACCGCGGGGCCGAGTCGGGGCCGAGCGGCCCCGCGCGCCCCGGCGCCCATCGATAAGTCGCCCGATCGGAAATTGATCCTCTTTGTTCAATTCATCGATCAGCCCAAGATGGCGCCGGGAGCCGCCGCCGCCGCCGCCACCGCTGCCCCCGGTCGCCGGCCCCCCGCGCCGGCCGCCCGCCCGCCCGCCGCCCCCACCGGCCCGCCGCCCGCCGCCACCGCGGCCCGGGACCCGGGAGGGGGCGGCGGCGGCGGCGGCGGCGCGGGGCCCGCGGGGCGCGCGCGCGGCGGGGCGCGGGCGGCGGCGGCGGCGACGGGCGCCGCGCCGCGAGGGGGCTGCGGCCCGGCGGTGGCGGCGCGGCGGCGGCGGCCGCGCGCCCCGCGCCTTCCCGGGGAAAGTTTGTGGGGAGTTGCTGCGGGGGGTGAGGCGCTGCCGCTCCCGAGGAGCCGCCGCCGCCACTGCCGCCGGCGCGGCGGAGCCGGGGCTGGTGGCGCTGTGGTGCCGCCGGCCCGGGGGAGGGTCAGAGCGGCCACCGGCGGCGGCGGCGGCGGCGGCGGCGGCGCGGCCCGGCTCCGGCTCCGGCTCCGGCCAGGCGGGCTGCCGGGCGGCCGGCCGGGGGCCCGCGGCTGTCACGGGCCGGGGCCGCGCCCCCGCTCCGCGCTCCGCTCCGCCGCGGCCGGGCTGGGGGCACCGCGCCGCGCCGCGCGCGGACCCCGGCGTTTGTTTACGTCCGGCCGGCCGGGCGCCCCGGGGACCCCCCGCCGCCGCCCGACTCTTTTGTGTGGCGCGTTCGAACCGTCCCGTCCCCCCCCCCCCCACCCGCACTCTCTCTCCGCCGCAGCCTCGGAGCCGGCCCGGGACGCTCCGGGGGAAACTTGAGAAGACGCGCGGCGGGGGCGGCCCCGCGCGAGCCGGACGCCGAGGGTCGGGGGCGGCCCCGGAGCGCCCCGCGGCCGCCGCGGGCAACTTTGCCCGGGCGCAGGCCCCGCGCGCGCGCGCGCGCCGGTGCGCGGGGTGGGGGTGGGGGTCGCGGGGGGGGGGGACGCGCCCGCGGCCGTCGGTCGGCGCGTCTCCCCCGGGGCCCGGCCCGCGGGCGCCATGGAGCCGGCGGCGGGGCCGCTCGGAAGTGCCCGCCCGGCGCGGCTTCTCGAAAGCAGAGCCCCGAGGGCGCCGCCGGGGCGTCGCGCCGGAGCCCCGGGGCCGGGGCCTGAGTCCCGGAGCGCCCGCGCGCCCCGGGACCCCGCCAGGTGGATGGTGTGCGTGGCCGGAGCCAAGCTGAAGGTGAGCGGGTGCGGGTGCGGGCGCGGGCGGGCGGGGGGGCTTGTCCTTCGGGCGCCCCCTCCCCGGGGCCGGCGACTGTCGCCGGCCCCTGAGTGTGCGGGAGTAAACTCGGCTGAACTTTTTTCCTCGCCGGGAGGCACCGCGGAGAGGGACCTGCGGTGCTGGGAGCTCCAGCTGCGGGCTCGCGGGAGGCCGCCGCGGGTCGGAGTCAGACCCCGGCGACGTGGAGCCCGACGACGCGAATCGCGCGTGTCGCTTTTCCGCCCGGGCGGGCCGACGACGGCGCGAGAAAGGCCGGCTCGCGGTCCCCAGGACGTTTTCCGCGGATTTCGCGCTCAGCGAGGAAGGAGACTATGTGAAATATGTCTTTCCGATAAGATTAAAACTTAAAGGAGTTGGAGCACTTATTGACGAAAATAGATTACTCCAAAGTGTCTATTGTGTAAATTAGATTCCTGGCTGTAATGAACGCAGGCGAATGGCATTTTTGATAAATGGGTCTACCCGGTTTTAGTAAAAATAGCTCCCTTTTACCATAATTTAATTCCTGTGCTTACTGTAAAACCCGTTGTGGAGTTTTAAGCGACAAACCCTAATCCCCCCCCCCCCCCCAGGTCTCCCCAGATGTGACATTCTAGCTTCATGGCACCGCGCACCGAGGTTTCTCTCTGGGTCTTCCTGGTGCCAGGGCTATGGATTTGGTTTATGACCTTGCTGACACCCGCCATCCCCCATAGCTGCTGGTTCCAGTACCAGGATATGTGGGGCTCTAGGACTGGCTTGCAGTTTTCCCGGGTCAGTTTCTGTGAGCGAACTTTCAAGATGTTGGTCTCGAATAAAAAAATGGGAAAAAATGGTTTTTATCTGGGCATGCTTTGCCGTCCCCGGCCCCCTTGACTTTGGATGGTAGGAAACGGCCTTTGAGGATCTCCTGTTGCCTCCTCCTGTTATTTTTTGCTAACTTCAGTGGACCGTGGAATGCCAGAGTTCAAGTGTCAGGCCCATCTGGTTCTTTCTTGGGCCCCCGGAGAGGCCTTTTGGAGTCGATATCTGCTTGAGCGTCATCCGTTCCCACAGACAGTTGTGAGCCAATGAGACAGCAGTTTGCAGAACTCATTTGATTCATTCGATTCAGACCCTTCTCGTCTTCCCAGAACCTCTCACTCGGGTGATGGGGTTGCCTGTGGCCCACTGCCCCTGGAGAGGCCATGGGCAGGAAGGACGCTGCTCACTCTTGGCTGGGCACCACTCCCGGCTACAGTGAGCCTGGGTTGCCTTCCGGCCCCTCTGCGCGTGGGCTCTGCCTGGAGCTGCTTGGGCCAGAGTGTGTCTGAAGATCAGGCAACATTTCGTTTTCTTTTCAATTCCAAAGACTTGTGGTGTGGAGGTTTCGCTGCTTTGACGTTGCGAGGACTAGTTGGACAAGTTTTTATCTTCTCTCAGTCTTGTAAAAAAAACAACCATTAAAAAGAAAGAAAAAAAGCCCCCAAATTAAAAAAAAAATCACCAAAGACCCAGTAAGAAAAACACCCTTTCCTCAACTTACCTTTGAAGTACAGGTTGCTAAGAGGTCCCCAGAGCACAGCTTGGGGGCCCTCCCTGCCCTGACTGGCCATCCTGGAGGGCAGTGTCTCCCGAAAGGAACTTCTGCAGAAGTCCACTTTAAACACTCTCCTCTTTTTCACATTAAGGGAACGATTTCTGTTGGGCAGAAAATCCATCTTCTGGTTGCTTGTATTTTGTTTTCTCCCAGGACAGAAGCCACTATGTTACTGTGCTCAGGACCATTCCCTGCAAGTGTATCATTTCGATTTCAAATTTGTTTCCATTATGAAATCCCACTTGGACAAATCTGGGGTGTCTTATTTTCATGCTGCTCTGTCTCTATGAGATTGAGAGTTGGAGGAGGCAGTTATCGCAGTTAGAGTGGTTTTTCTTTTTCCCTGTGTGAAACTAGGTAGATCCTTTTTAAAAGGTACTAGCCTGTGAAGGGACAAGCCTAGAAAGAGCCCTGATCCCTCCAGATCCAGAGAGAACCCCTTTCCCCACCTCCTCAATGTCAGACATTTCCCCCGGAGGTTTTGTGAGGTGTTTTGTGATCCTGGAGCTTGCCTTAAACTTGCCGTGAGCTGACTGAGCACCAGCCCTTCCTGGCTGAGGGAAGCGTGGCTGCCTGGCATGTAGGATTCCAACTGTCCTCCCTTCCTCTATATCCCCCCCCCCCCTTCTCTCTGGGGCCTGTGCGTCCCACCGCCCCCATCCCCTCCGGCGCTCCCTGGAGCAGTCAGCAGTCGGAACTGCTCCCGGGCGGGTGGTACCCACATTCTACGTCTTCAGAAAGAAAACAAGGCTGGAAAGTAGAAGGGGAAAAAACCTTTTTTTTTTTCCAGCTCATTTTAAAGCCAGAGTTAGCATCCACTGTAAAATGAAGGCAGAGCAGATTCGTTAGAAGAAAACTTGATTGTTCTTAAAAAGCGGGATTCCTGGTGTGAAGCAGCCCCTGCCCCGAGTTCGGCCGCATCCCGCTGCCTCCCCTCGCATTTGGTCCCGGATCCAATTCTACGTCTCCCCAGGTGTACGTGATGGGGCGTCTGCAGTGAGCGCGGCTTGTGGCTTTAAAGGTGATTCGAGTAGACAGGTTTAGTTCTTTAAATTTTGTACACTGAAAGCCCTATTTAAAGTTATTTAATGTGTCACATCGAATAGATTTTTGTTTTGCCAGGAAAGGTCCGATTTTTACAAGTAATTGTCACAGATAGGAATTCGATTGTCTCCGTCCTGTTGTTTTGTCTGAAGCTCTGCCGTTATGGCTGCCGAGAGATAGTTTTGGTTTCAGCTGAAATTCCCCTGCCTCTGATTGTTTAAACCAGACCCTTAATCTTATTTTAACATACTTAAAATGTTCAAAAAACCCGGAAGAATTGTTTTGTATAAGTAGCAAGTGAATGTAGTTTAAACACTCAAAGCAATTCTGGTATCTAATTGGAAACAGGTGGAATTCTTGGAATCCTGTGTTTGAATCTTATTATAGCGAAGCTCAGAGACTTTTTTCCCTTATGGCCATTGATTTTTGTAGAAGCAGTTTGAAGAGGGGGGCCCCATGACCTCTTACCCCACTACTGTTTACCTGGACGGCCCCGGAGGGTGTGCCAGGAGGGTTAGGAACGGACTGTCTGCACATCTGGGCCCCGGGAGGGCTGCAGCGAGAGGGGCTCGTGAGCAAAAGGGAATTTTAATGGTGTAATTAGAGCGGTGATTTAATATCTGCATTATATCGCTTTCATAGCAAAGAAGTTGTGAATTCATTTGTGATTTCTGATTTAATAAACATTTATTGACAGGAGCATTTGGGTACATTTTAATACACCCAGACAATGATTGAGAATTAAGAGAGAAATTACTTTCCCCCAAAGTTCTATGTCTAGAAATATAAGCTTAATTAGCAACCTCCCCCATCCAGAGATAAACAACGCATACACACAACGACATGCAAACCCTACTGGGTTTGGGATCCCTTTGAATGAACTATTAATGGCGCGGCCTCCGAATGGTTTTAAGTTCTTAGTTTGAAACTTAAGAACACTTTGAGCTGGTGTTCCTCAAAGCCGTGGCTTTGCTGTGTGTTCAGAAACCACGTTGGGGTTGGTGTCGAGTAGTAGATTTTATTGAAGAAGACAGCTAAGATTTGTATTGAACGGTTGGTCCTGCCACACTTAGGGGTTTGTAATCAGCCCTGCTTCTTCTCGGCTGGCTTCTGGGTAAGTTAGTGCAGGAGCAGTTATTGACAGGGAATGGAGACCACCTGTGATGCGGGCAGGCGAGGTACCTGAAAGGGGTTTGGCAGCACCTGGGCTGTGACTTATAAATTTTCCCAAGTGCCTGTGACGCATCCTCGGAGGCCCCCCCCCCCAGCCCCCCATCACTTAACGTGACACAGACATCACTAAAGGAAGACTGACTCTTTGGGAAAGAACCTGATCTGTCGCAAAACCCACCAAGAATCTTTCCTTTAAAAAAAGGAAACAATTCTGTAAGAAAAATAATTCCACTTCTTACTGGGAGCAGATCCTGATAGGGAATCTTGCCCCAAATAAATATCAGGTTCTTGGTCTGTTCTGAAGGCAGCACCTTATTGGCCATGCCCAGGGCAGTCGCAGATTTCTGTGTTTATTACAGCCCTGGGCTCTCAGCAACCCCAGAAGTTCCTTAAAAGGGATTAAGGGTTGCACCCTGAAATTGTTCCTTGGAAACACCAGCAGACAGGTGACTGGAAAGGAATGAGGTTGGGAGGCCTCATTCCTCCGAGGAATTCACCTCACACTGCAGAGCATCTGGAAAGGAGCCTGCAGGAGGCTTATGCTGACGGCCTGGATTCGGCTTCCTTCCGCTGTGAGAGGAGTGGTCCTGCCTGAGTCCACCCTGAGACCACGGGTGGTCAGGCAAGTGTGGAGGGTGGCTGGGGCCTTCCTGGCCTCTGGCCTCCAGTGCTCGGACCAGCGTGGAGGCTCTTCCCCCCGTCTTTTCTCGAATGCTGTTTTTTAAAGGCAGCTCTCTGACCATACTTGTTCAGTTGGTAAAAGCAGTTAAATTTCTATCAGCTAATGTGTTTTTTGGGTAAAGTTATATATGGTTGTTAGGTGTTCCAAGTTTGGTAAGGGAAAAACACATCGACAAATTAGCTCTTTCTTCAGCGAGCATTGCGACAGTGGAGGAATAGAATGCTGTTCTTACTGTCATTCAAATTTTATTTGGGTGTTGACAGCTTTCTGCTAAATGTAAGACATTCCGATCTTGTCCACCCAGCTGTTAAAAAAAAAGCCAATTCAAGCGTCTCAGCTTCCTCCTTAAAAACAAGACAGTTTTTCTCAGATTAGGTCTTTCTCCCTAAATATTAAGAGCATTTTATTTTTTAACATTAGTTTCATGTTTTGAAGAGGCAGTGGGTTCACTCATGGCACCTGGCCTGCGATTGGGGGGGGGGGGGGGGGGCCTGGAAGGTG